CCTTCTCTTCACCGCAATGTGAGCGATCGAGAAAATGCGTACGAAGCGACTTGCGCGCCATCTACCGCAACGTTCGACGGTTTTCGAGTGCGATGTTGGCGCGATAGTTGACTTCCATGTTGCCGCTCGTTGCAGCCTTGCAGCTGCTCTTCTGAGCGTGCGGTGAGGCGAGGTGAGATGCAGCGGCGCTTCACTGAAGGAGCTGCTGAAGGATCCGTTACATACTCATAGCTGCGGGCGCATCACGTTCGCCAACATGGGCATAGCTATGATGGAGCCTCCTCCCGATTTTGGATGATGGACACAATGCACTCGGAAAAATGGGAACTCGGTAAACATCACGAGGCCGAACACCGGCCTCCAAAACATTTTATACTACCCACTCTGCAATACACATAACCCCGTTGAAGCGAATCAATTTAGTATTTACTTGCGATGTATAATTTGGAATTTGGATTTTAGATTTTTGAATAGGGAGTGTCGTGATCTTGTCATGGTACGTTCGACTAAGCAAAACAGTACAAATAAAATCGAATACAGTACGAATGTTTATGCTAAGTACCTTCTACAAAGTAATCTACTAAAAATCGTGTAATAAAACTACCAAATATTACCTAAATAACTTGTTCTAAATATCTACTAAATGCCATGTATACTAAATTTATACTAAATACCTTGTAATAAATATCTCTAAATACTAATCGGTATAATCATGTAGTAAATATACCTTTATAATAATCTCGTAAATATGTTATGCTAAATTTCTGCTACATATTTGTCTAATTATCTGGTATATATCTTGGCATAATGACGTCAAATTAAAAACAATTAACATTCAATCGTTGCGTCATTACAGGTGTAGCGTTTCTACCACGCAAGTATCTTGTGACTTGATCGGTTACAAATATATTGGTCCTCTAGCTCACAGATGGGGCAGGTAGGTATATCTTACTACGCGAGCATAGAACGATAAACTATCGCTACTATGCTATTCGTCTCGTGCCCGTATCTAGTATAGCCGACATGTGATTTTACTTTAGCCAAAATTAACGCGATAGCTTCGGGCGTAAATGTCATGCCGGTCTAATAAATTTGTGCTTTATCGTCCCCAGGTGGCGTTGCCTCACTGATAGGAATGCTTGCGACGGCATATGTCTAATGTTTTGTAAGTATAGGCGTACTATGCAACGCTTCCGCTCTAACGCGTAAACGATCCTTGGATTTGAGCAAATTCTGCACACTCGCTGCTGTTGTTACCACAGAGACTGGGGTTTAATAATACTATAAATTGGCGCTTTGACCCTTTTCGAGCGTGCATTCGTCATCGATACGCTAAAAACTAACGCGAAAGCTACATTTATTTCGCTTAACATCCATTTAGGTACCACAGGCGCGTCAACTTGCGCATTTAATACCGCCGAACGCTGGACTGGGTTTGGCCATAGGTAATTCCGTCATTTTATTTTTTAAATATTTAATTATCTACATTCACGCAAACGATAATTATCTTTGTGTGTAATATAGCATTTGCCCTCTAGCAAAATATTTGACTATAAATGATTTTGGTATTCGCATGCGCCTAGAATCTCTCCGTAATAACGCCTACTAATCATGTTATGTAATCGTTATTTACACCACTTCTTACTTATTTACTCTCGCCTCACGTACACGGTTATTGCACTCGCGTTACAGGTATGGTAGATTCCGCAATGTGCCAACGATGGGCTATTGGTTGATATTCAGACATGTCCTGTCTATGGAAGTGTGTATGCCATAGCTGATGCCGCCTTCTGCGTTTGGATTTGCAGTCCGGTGGGTGTACGAAATAGCAGTTACATTATTGAGCATTCGGGTACATTTTATCCGCTACACGTTACTATACAACCATCAGTTTCAATAGTTTCATAGATTCAACCCCCTATTAATTGTATTTAGCGTATAATGTGCGAGTTATCATTCTATTTAGGCTGAGACTATGGTTTTGAAAAGTGAATATTTGAAATGCATTTTTTGCCGCCAAATTACGCTCACTTCACCGTAACTTGTTTACGGTACAATATATTACCAAACTATATAATAATAATATATATATAGTATATACTATATTATACTATATATATAATATATAACATAATATGTATGTGTAGTATTACCAACACCGAGAAGTTAGGAACGAATACTAACGACGTTAATTGACACGGTTATCGCCTATAAGCAAATATTTTTATCTCCTACCCTCGCGGCGGAATATTATCCTTTAATATCATGCCTTGTAGGCCGACATATTATGAAAACGTATAGATTATATATTATATATATATAATATATATATCAGGAGCGTATACATGGACAAATACAATAATGATATAATGATAAATTTGGTCATTATACGCTCCGTGATATATATATATCAGAGTACATAGAGGGCAGACATAAGGGTGGACATAAGCCGAGAGTGCATATATCTCCCATTATGTACTCTTGATATATATATAATTATATATACTATATATATACTATATATATTGTGGCAGTTTATATTCGGAATCTGAAAAACCGGTTTATATGTGAGTACAGGTCTATCAGTACCAGTATATTATTATGAGTACGTTATCCCTAACTAAGCGAATAATATTTATTGTCCTATACCTCTTCGGTGGTCATATTATCTTCTACAATCATTGCCTTAGGTGACAATTCTATGAACCTTGTTTAGATACTATGTTATTTTTTGTGGCTTCTATATATGAATATATTCTAATCTTGAAACTGCGTTCTCATATGTACCATGTTTATAGCTACCAGTTATTGTAGGAAGTTATTCCTATTACTAAGCAATCATATATTATCCATTCTATATCATGCCCTTAGGCCGACAAAGTTAGGAAACGTTATTATATATATATTAGTATATATATATATATAGATATTAGATATCATAATCTGAGAAAACTGGTTTTCGTCGATTTAGCAGCGTTATCATTACTTTTAAGTTCGGATACCTATGGTGTGTGTGCACGCGCGCGTATGTGTGATTATACGCGTGATGATGTGTGCGCTTACATTGGTTCTTGAAATTCTGGTATATCGTTTTAATAGTAGAAGAATACTTTTTATACTATCGATTAATCTTTCAGGATGTCAATATCGCATATTGTAGTCGCGTTTCAGTAGCACGCAATCGAAACATAAAAACATGCACATACTTGCTTTTTCCTGCGTCAAAACGGCAGTCATGCGAGAAAACAATTAAAGCATATCTAAAAGGGTACTTATAGAATCCGTATAATACACAGGAGGTCGATTTCTAAACAACGGCGTACTCTTATATATGTGTATGCTTATAAACAACGGGTAACCGTTAAGCGTTAATCACAGCCACGTATACAAACTGTAATGTCATTTATATAAGGTTAGAGCGTAGTAAATTGTAAAAAAAACGTTTTGCAGTGCCCAACCAGATAATATTATGTGTGAAATTTACATTCGCTGATGTTTTCCTAATATTGTACATCCCACATGCATAGTCTACGCTAGAAGACTCGCATACACTTACTGGTGTTATCACTTTAACTTTAGCAGAGATGAGCCCGAAAAACCTTAACCCGACTATGTTCTTAATAATACCCATTCGTCGAAGGCAGGAAACCAGCATTCTTTGATATAATATATTTGATTGATGTAAAGTTTGACTCGGGGCTAAATCTCTATTGACATTGCGAAATCTGTTGCGGACGCAGACGCGAACACACATCGCAAAAACGAGCTCTGCACATCGTTATTCCTTGCTACACCTTTTCAGTACCAATTATTCCCGAATTTCTCTACTTGATGCGTCACGATGCCGACTGGTCGAGACTGAAAGCGAACATGTCCAAGTACGCGTCGACAACAACGACGTCGACGACATCTCTACTGCCGCTGTCGAATTCGACCGCGCCACCTTGGGACGACGCGAGGAACTACTATCGTCACAGCTCGACGTCGGCGGCGCCGACGACGGAGAACGTGACGCACGAGAGCGGCCCGACGACGATGGACCCGTACGAGGCGGAGCTGCGACACCAGGAACTACTCAACGAGAATGTCGAAGTCGGCTTGATGTTCGCGTCGAAGGCGCTGATACAGATGGTCGTGAATCCATTCATAGGTCCGCTGACTAATAGGTACAACGGGTTACATATATATATATAATTATAGTAATAAGATTTCTATGAGGTTAACGCTCTGGTGAGTAGGCCCTAGCGGCCGTTACGAGCAGGAGCGGTAATCATTAACGTTACAAAAACCCTAACCCTAACCCTAACCCTAACAAACTTCGTGATACCTAAGGTTATACTTTATGACTTAGGGTTAGGGTTAGGGTTTTTGCATCATTCCTTGATATACATAATACAGAAAGTCTGTGCATCAGTTGATGATATACATAACTCTGTGCATCATTTCGTGATACCTAAGCCAGTAGACCGAATAATTCTGTCCCATCATAGGTCCCATATAACCTTTTTTATATTTTGGTGAGGGTTATATTGGCCAATATAACCCTCACCAAAATATAAAAAAGGTTATATGGGACAGAATTATTCAGTCTACCTAAGCCAGGTGCAAAGTGGATTTGCGCCGGCTTTTGCTCCCACTCCCAGTGCCAGTGTTCCGCTACCGCCGGTAGTAGGTACGACAGGTACCAATGGCAGCAAGATCAAGCCCGCACGTACAGCACACACGCGCGCCATTGACTATATATATACAACGTTGTATTGTTGTATATAATATATATATAGTCAATGGCG